ATTTACTTTGTTAGAAATAATACTTCTATTATTATTATTATTATTATCATGTAACAATATCATATATATATATATATATATATATATATATATATATATATATATATATATATATATATATATATAGGATATATTTCCGGTAAGAAATTTTTTTTGGTAGGAAGGTAAGAAGTTTTTTTTCTACATATTTTTTTGACGAACAAAATAAATGAATCACTAAATGATTCATTTGTAAGATGATTCACAAGAAAAAATTCCCAAAAAAATATCTTTATGATTCATTTTTAAGTAAATTAAGAAAAAATTTATTTTTATGATAATTTTAGTGAATAACAACAAAATCATTGTATAAATGAATCATCGAGATGCTTTTTTGAGAATTTTTTCTTGTGAATCATCTTAGAAATGAATCATCTAATGATTCATTTTGTTTGTTCACGAAAAAAATATGTAGAAAAAAAACTTCTTACCTTCCTACCAAAAATTTCCTTCTTATTTGATCTTGACTATATATATATATATATATATATATATATATATATATATATATATATATATATATATATATATATATATATATATATATACATATACATCTTAACAAATATAAAACCATAAGTGGTTTGCACATCGTATATCATCAAATATATATTTAACACATATTTCAAGCAATAAGCATATAATTGACATATAAACTTTCAACACATATTTAATATTTTAACTAATACTTGTATTAAAATCATGTTCATGAAAGCGACTATGCACTCACCTGGCTAGTTAGTGGAACTACAATCGTGACTTGTTTGTCAACTTATTATCTTGCCGAAACCTTATCTCGTTCTGCGAGCGTAATTTCCTAATTGGCATCGTGATGCACTTCCTTTATGTACGAGTCACTGCTCGAACGTTTGGAATTTCCGTTAGAAAAATATAACTCTATAAACTATTTATATTTGGTTGTAATATGTGTCGACACCACTTTCTTAATCTTTTATATCCAAAATTAGTATCTTCTGAAGTTTGAATAATTTCAAAATATTTGTTCAAGTTTAATAACGATGCATTTATTTATACTCAACTTCAAATTATAGATTCATGTATTTTCGTACTTCAAACGGTTAGTCATTTTAAAAATTTTGACACGTTAGCCTATAATTTTGACAGGTAACTTTAATTTGTGTTGCCATTATATTTATTCAACACCTCTCCAAGTTCCATACTCTATCACAATTTGAATAGCTTTAATTCTTATCCCAAAATGACGTAGGCATACACATACTTATTGTATCCTCCACCACCGTATAATCATTATTAACATGTACATATAAAATACGTATTTAGTAATCTATATAAGCTCCATAATATATATATATATATATATATATATATATATATATATATATATATATATATATATATATACGTGTTTTATTATTATTATTATTATTATTATTATTTTTCTTGATTATATATATATATATATATATATATATATATATATATATATATATATATATGGAAAAGTAATTCACAATTTATTCACATATATATATTTATATCAAAGTATTTCAAATTAATATAATCTTTTTATATGAAATATTGTCAAGAAAATATAATAGATATTATTGTATGAACTATCTAAGTTTAATAATCAATAACTAACATCGTAAAATATATCTGATAATTATCATCGAAAAAACGGGTGTAACACAAAATACCATTTCACTACTTGGGTTCATCATTGGATGTATTTATATAACCCGTAACACGTACGACGAACAATTATCCTATTCGAAGATTTTAGTTATTTAATAAAATAAATATTTATTATGATTATCCTTTTTATGTCCAACCCTAACTAACGTACGTTATATACATTGTAGAGAAAATGTCATATTAGCCCATCGAATTTTTTGTGTTTATTTTAAAGCGCCGCCGATCTTTTTTTTTTGTACATTAAGAGAATAAACTATCGTTTGACCTGTTAAAAAAGTCACTTGACCCACTATAACATGTTTTTATCTCTTCGTAGCCTAATCTCCTCTGACCTCCTCTCATTATAACACTTTCTCCTCTCTAAATTTATCCCAAAAACTAAATTCAAGTACTTCAAGTTTTAAAATCATTCGTGGTACCTTTCCCTTTGTCGGAGTCAGTTTTGGTCGACGGCTGTGAGATTTCATTGGTTGATGCAAATCACTCCCCCGGTGAATCGTACTTGGTATCGAGGAGTCAAAAGAAAATTGAAGCGTTTGTTTTCATGAATCGTTGCTTTTTGGAACTAACAATCCAATTCCTACCTAATCGCCAAATTGGCAACCCAGTAGCCAAATCGACGTACCAGAAACACGAATCGGAACACCAGAAACGTGAATCAAAACAATCTAGTTATTTTCTTCGTTGTTAATTTGAGCTTCGATTGTTGATTTCAGATTCTTTATACATCAGTTTCATTGTAATGCTATTTGAGATTAAAACATGTTATACATCGTTTCAGATTTCAGATTTTGTACAAATTTCTATCCTCGAGGGTTTGAAATCGAATGCAAACCCAGTTTTGTCGAGATTTTGTTTAATTCCCAATTGATATCCTGTATTCGATCAAATAGGTTGTCAAGAACATAATTATGTTTTCCCTTTAATCATTCTGCTTTTCTCCTCATGTACATACATAATTACTACTAAAATTAAGTTGTCATTGTTAATGGGTTAGCGACAAATGTTTAACAGTCAATTGGGGAAATAAGAAATGCATAAAAGTGTTAGAAAAAAAAAGATATAAGAGTTGCATGGAAGGTGTTCGACAAAATGCTTAAAAGAATCATTTTGCCTACATTAAACCTCTTAAGTGTTAAGCTTACTTATCATGCATATATCACCACATTTTACCTGCTTACCCGGTATCAGGTTAAATAAGGACCTTTTAAAACGGTAAATTCGGATTTCATTCCCTTAATATACAAAAAAAAAAAAATTGTGCGACCTTTTAAATAAGGGTAAATGGCACAAAAAACACTCTTTTAATACAAAAAATCGATTTTGACACCGTGTTTTATTCGTGTCAATTTCGACACTGTGTTTTCCAATTTGTTACAATTCTGAACACTTGACCGGTTAACCAGGTTGCATGCTGACGTGGAATGCTGACATGATATGCTGACGTGTTAAAATTGAATTTTTGTTCTCACAAAAAACACTAAGTTTTCATTTTTTCGATTTTGACACTAAGTTTAGTGTCAAAATTAAAATAAAAAATTAAAGTTAGTGTCAAAATCGAAAAAAAAAGTGAAAACTTAGTGTTTTTCGTGGAAAAAAAAATCAATTTTGACACGTTAGCATATCATGTCAGCATGTAACCTGGTTAACCGGTCAAGTGATTAGAATTGTAACAAACTGGAAAACACAGTGTCAAATTTGACACAAAAAAAAAAAACATGATGTCAAAACCGAATTTCTATTTAAAAATAATGTTTTTTTTTGTGCCATTTACTCTTTAAATAAACACAATAAATTTGATAGGCTAATATGACATTTGTCCTACATTGTATTCACAAAATAAATAATATTAAAAAGTTTAAAAAAAATGATTTTATGAATTTCTTTTTATAGAAACTTGCATGATTTTTATGAGAAAAATAAAAATAAAGGAGTTGTTTTTAAGATAAATTCTTGAAAACCTAAGGTTGCATCTAATTATCGAAAAACAGTTTTTATTTTATGTTTTTCCTTTTCCCTCATCAGTTTTTGTTTTCAGTTATCAATTTTCATTAAAAAATTTAGAAAACTCATTTAGTTAAAACCTATTAATTTTTCATTTTCAATTTTAGAAAATTAGAAAGTGTGTTTATATCTGTATTTTTCTATCGGTTTTTATTTTTAGAAAATAGCAATGGTGGTAGAGTGGGGGTTGGGGCGGCGGCGGCGGTGGAGCAGCGGGGCGGGGGGGGGGGGGGGGGGGTTGGGGGCAGTGGTGGTATCGATGATTGCGACGGTGGTGGTGGCGGCAATGGTGGTAATAGTGGTGGTGCTGGTTATAGGGTAGTGGTTTTGATAATGGTGATGGTAGGTGATTGATTGTGGTAGTGGTGTTGGACGTGAGTGTATGTGTATGTGTTTGTGGGTGTGTGTGGTGTGTTTGTTTGTTAGGGTGGGGTGGATATAGGTGTGTGTTTGTGGGGGTGGGTGGGTGAATTTGTTTGTGTGTGTGGATGTGTGTGTACGTAGGGGGTAAGGATGCAGTAGGTTAAGGGTATTGAGATGGGGTAGGTATAGAAGGTTGGGATGAGAGTGAGTGTAAGGGGTAAGGATGCGGTGGGTTAAGAGTATTGAGATGGGGTAGGTATAGAAGATTGGGATGAGAGTGAGTGTGTATTTATATTTTAGAAAAAAATTGAAATTAAAAAGTTTTGAAAAACAATAATTATGAGTTTTTCAAAAATTTCAAATTTTTTTTTATAATTTTAGAAAACAGAAAATTTTCATTATCAGTGAAAAATTTAAAAAAATAAACAATTTAAACACCTTTTCAAAATTGTTATTTTTCTTGGATAATTTTTCCGAAAAACATCCTATTATTTTGCAACTAAACATAACCTAATGGTTTTTACGAAAATTTCCCTTAAATGAACGACGTATAAACCATTGCTGTAATCTACTCTGCAAAATAAATTACATTACCAATTAGTCTAATAAACCAGTTTCTTTATTTCCTCCAACATCCTCCTCTTTATATAATTAAATTATTCTTTTTTTGCAAATAATAATTAAATCGTAAAGTAAAACAACAATATACTATACTCTAAAAAAAACTTACAAAGTTACACCCCAAACCCATGTCACGACAAGGAACCCGACCCGTTTATCTATGGAACAACTTCTGTCTTCTGCAACTCAACACCTGAATCCTGACCCACGTCTCTTTTGCCCCCATCCCCTTTCTTCCCGCTGCTCTTTCTGATTGAATAAAGAACAAATCTCTCTCTCTCTCTCTCTCTCTCTCATTATGTTTCCGCCATCGTCACTGTAGCTACTGATGATGAGTTATTGTTGGGTGCAATCTCGTAATCGCCGCCTTCGTCTTCGTCGTCTTCATCTTCATCGTCATAATCATCTTCGTTATTCTGGTGAATCGTAGGCTGTTGTTGCTGAACGACGGCCGCCGGAAGTGGCCATTGCTGCTCTGGTTCTGCCATAATCGGCTCCATCTGGGTGGTTTCCGGTAACCTGAGACTACTGTGGCTACTGTTGTTGGCTCTCTCCCTATAAATAGCATCGAGCTGGTGAAAGTATGGACATGTTTTAGAGTCTTCGGGTCTTTTCTTGCTGCTTTCCTTCACCTTCTTGTAGTACTTGTTGATATTCTCCCATTTCTCTTTGCACCTTTTTGCGTTCCTGTTATACCCGAGCTTTATCATTCCGGCGGATATCTCCTCCCATAAAGGACCTTTTGGTCCGCTGTCTTGATACTTCATGTCCAGAGTTGTCCGGAGTTTGATCAGTGCGTATACTTCTGTTTTTGGCCATCTCGATGGGCTTGGCGCTAGGATAATATTCGACTTTCCTCCGCCACCGTTATCTAGATTCTTCACCAATGGTGTCGCCGGTAATACCGGCGGCTGAACTTGATGTTGTTGCTGAGCTGGTGGTGGAGTTGGTGTTTGTGGTGGTGGTGGTGGCGGTGGTGTCTGTACAGGTTGTAGATTCTGCTGCTTTTGTTGCTGTGGCGGTGGCTGCTGTGAGATTTGAGTGACGGGATTGTTCGAGTTTTGTTCGGTTATCTTCTGTAAGAATGTGATGACGGCGGCGTCTTTAGCGGCGGCGATGGATCTCTCCTGCACCAGAAGCTCATGCTCCCGGTTCATTTTCGCCATCTCTTCTATTCTCCAAGCTTCTTCTCGGGCCATCCGGTCTCGTTCTCGTCTCTCGATCTGATCAAGGAATTTCATCTGCAGCTCCTCTTGTTTATGAATCACTTCCGTCATCAACCTCCCAAAGAAATCCTTCCACTTCCTCTTCCTCTTCCTCCTGAGTTCCGGTGGCTCCTCGTCGGAAGAAGTAGATGAAGACGTGGTGTTCGAAGACGAGAACGGAAAGGCACCTGCACCGCTACCGGTACCGCCGTGATTAACCATTGCTGGTGCTGCAACGGAGATAGGACTGACGTTTGTCTGATGAGAATGAGATCCAGTGACGTTGAAAGGAATTACAACAGACGGCTGTGAGAATGGATGTTGAGAGGTGGTGGTAGTTGTCATTCCGGCCGGTGGTCTTTGTGTATTTGCTTCGAGAGCCTCTAATTGATCGAAGAATCGATAGGTTTTTCCGTCGGCTTTGGAGGTGCGACCTTCTTTGGTTCTCTTGTGATATTTGTAGACGTTTTCGAATTTCTCCTTGCATTTCTTCCCACTTCGATGATACCCGAGCTCTCCAAGTTTTCTGACAAAGTAAAAGCTTGATAAATATCGATAAAACAAACATGGCGTCTGAATTCTGATTGTTATTTGCATAAAATAAACCTTGAGAATTAACGTCACTGAGTAAAACAAGAATCGACTAAATTTGGGCGGAGTCGGAGTGCATTGGGAAAGAGAAAGTTTCCTGTTTGGATCTGGTCATCGTTTCAAATTTGAACAAGTAAAAAAAAAATAACAATAATTGAAAAATCTGAAAACACGAAGACAAAATTCAAACGGAATTCAAATTCAATTCACGTTTTTCGTCAGCCATTTCTTCATTCCCAAATTCCTTGCACGAAATGCTGAGAACGGAATTCAAATCAATCAACTGGATGATTAATTTTTTGTTTGAAGGAGATATTCAAATTCAATTCACAGATCTGGTTTTCAGTCCAGAATATGAACAAATTCACCTCGAATCGAGAGTAAAACAAGATTGAAGGATTGAATAATTGATTTTACCTTGAAACTTCATCCCATAATGGACCTTTGGCACTCGCATCACGAAAAGCGAAATCCATTTCCGACCGGATTTGAATCAGCGCCAATGTTTCCTTCCTCGGCCATCCGTTTCCACTCCGTTCACCTTCGATTCTTCCTCCAGTTTCTTCTTCGCTAAATCCACCGCCTAATTCAACTGCAACACTTCCGTGAGCTTGTACTGGTTGTTGTGGCGGCTGTGCCGGAGTGGCGACATCGCCGGAGTTTCCAATTAATCCCGGAGGTCCCTGCAACATCACCTTTCCTCCTCAGGAAGGAGAAGAAGAAGAAGAAGCAGTGTCTTGGAAGGAAGACAATTACTAGGGCTTAAAGAAAAGGATAATAAAAATTAAAAATGAAAAAGGAAATAGTGAATAGTGAATTGTTGAGGGTTTTATGATGTGCCTGTGAATTTATTTCGATGGGATCCCTTCGTAATAAAAAATAATATTACGTGGTTTTTTGTTATCTGGAAATTCGAAAAAGAAAAAAGAAAAACGAGTAAGTAATTAAAAATGAATAAAAGAAAAAAAGAAATTATTTTGGGTGTGGGGAATCTTTTTGTGTTATTTTTGTTATCATTTTCATGCCGTATAATTCATGTTTCTTTTATAAGAATTATTCACATTTGATCACTTTTAATTGTTTTGATTAAAAAAAGCATAAAAAAGACATTACATGTTGTAAAAGTAGGCAAGTGTGGATGGATGTTTTTCTTTATAACTATAATAATTGTTTGCATTTAGCTTTTTAATTGTTTTCCTTTTCAAATTCGAAAAAAAGTCATTTCAAGTTGTAAAAGTTAGCAAGTTTGGATAATATTCTTTTTTACTATAAAAATTATTTTAATATTTAAAGAGTTCATTTGAAATAACATCTCTAATCATATTTTATTTTAACATTTTATTTTTAAAGTGTGAAATAAAGTTTAAAATGGTTAATCTCCAACTCTATTTAAAATGCTATTTTATACTTTAAAAATAAAGTGTGTGAGGTGCAATTCAAATTTAGAGTGTTGCAATTCATTTATTTATTTAAAGAGTGTAAAATAGTGTTAGTTTGAAGTATATATACATGGAAGAACCTACTTTGTATTATAGTGGTACGGACGATCCTTCGAAAGGTTGATGGTTTAAGTCCTGTAATGGATAGTAGTGAACATGTGTGGAATTAATAATAGTTTAGACATAATGTAGATTTGAGGTTCCAAAGATAAATAAATATATAAATAAAAATGTAAAATTTAGTAAACTCATCAAAATTCTTCATGGATCCATCACAAAGTAAATATGCCGTTGTAAACCTTTTATTTGTAATGAAAATTATCGCTGAAAATAAGTTTTTTTAATAGTGCAACCTTAAAATAATTATGCAACCATTGATATTTTCTTATGTGTTCGCCAACGAGTATATGCTCTATTTTACATTATAAATAAAATGTAATGACAAAAATATAACGAGGTTGAAGAGCAAAAAAATGACGATTTATTTTCATATGCAAAAATACTTTGTTTTTAGTGATATAGTTTGTGGTTAACCTCTTAAATAATCATTACCTTTGTCGTAATAGTTTTTTTTTAATAAATTTTATTTAATAATTTTTTGATATAAATCTTTCTTCTCAAACAAAATTCTTACGAATTAACTAGTTTAAACTTTTTATTTATTTTAAATGTTTTAAAAAACCACCTCATATAATTATAACTTTTTTAAATGTATTTTATATTTCCAAAATAAAACATTACTTACTATAAAATTTAAATAAATAGAAATTCTACAATACTGATGTTAAAAAAGTTCTATAATTTTATGAAAAAAAAAAAGTGGGGTTATTTTAAAAAAAATGACTAAGAAAATGGATATTTCCAAAAATGATGATGAGTTCTGTAAGTATCTTCAACTTTGAGAAATTTAAAAAAACTCTGAGGAAGTATCGTGACAGAGATAAATTATAAAAAGAAATTAAAAAAAAACTAACAAAATTGAAAGGGTGTTATGAATAGTCTTACAAACGTAGTTTTATAGTTTAAGTTATACTAAATCAATGGTATGTGAGAAATGATGACAACTCATTAAAGTAATAAGAAAACACGTACCAAAATCATTTTCTTAGGAATTGTTCTTTAAACACATGCCTATGTGAACAATTTTTTCGATTTCAAACAAAATTTGTTCACAACACCCTTTCAATTTTGTTAAGTTTCTTTGTGTTTTTATGAATTTAGACTAACACTTCCTCAGTATTTTTTTAATTTCTCAGAACTGAAGACGTTCCACAGAAACCCTCTCAACAGAACTCGTAGTCATTTTTTGAAATATCCATATTCTTGGTCTTTTTGTTTCAAGCACACCCATTTTTTGTCATTTCACAAAGTTTCCCAAACTAAAAAGATATTGATGAAATATTATATGACTACGTATTTAATACTTGTTTTATTTTGAAATGTATGGGCAATTACATTTAAATAAGATTTTCTTATAGAATGCATTCTTTTTTATTTTGTATATTTAAATTAAAGAATATATCAACTAACCTAAAAATAATAAGAATTTAATATTCAAATATCAGTAGTGTATATAATGAAATATTATTAAATTCAAGGATTGAAATATACAAACATATATGATGATTAAAATGTGGTAGTTTACCAAAGGGCTTATAACCTAGTGGTATTATGCGTTGTTCTCTCTCTATAAGGTCGAAGGTTCACGTATCGTCATGAAGATTGATGAATTTTGGTGTTAGATTAAGAATAAATTAGACTAACTAGTTCAAAAAAAAATATTGGAGTTTAACAAGTGGTTGAAGTGATGATTGTTCTTCACTTCATTCATCAAATCTTTTCATAAGATTCAAGCTTCAAAGTTATCATCTTTATATCAAGAATCTAATCATAAGTGATATAATGATATATGAAACCCTTCAAAGACTAATATAGGTTTACAGATCAAGAAATTTACGAATAAATGAACTAAATCTTGTTTTCTAACATTGGTGATGTATTTAATGGTTGGAAAGAAAAAGTAAAAGATTTATGTAGTTTTGGAGGACAATAAAGATGAAGCCATTGGTGAATTGGAGGATGAAAATGGAGACGCATATGAATACACATTTACATTTGTGGCCAGAAAAAGGAATAACTGATGAGAAAAGAGTCTTATGGAAACGGTGATGGTTGAAGTAAAATACAAGAAATATTTTGATACAAAGATCGAACCCTAATCTTCTATAAAATCTTCATCTTATTCAAATTGACGATGTTCAATAGTTCAAAAAACATAATATTTAACGGTTTAACCTCTTCGTTTTCTTCTTTATCTGCATCTCCGACATCTTCATTTTGATTCAATCATATTAGTTTTGATTGCATAGATCTTAAATTTTAAACACCCACTTCATTTTCAAAAATTAAAGTTAAAAAGAATTCTTATAATGAAAAGACACAAAGAACACCCAAATTAGATTGATTCACCTTCACCTTTTACCATGCAACTTTGACTATATCAATGATATGATTCACTTGTTTAACATGAGAGAGATGGTCCAATTTTATTCTATAATTATTAAAATACTAAATAAATGTTAAAAATATATAAAAACAAATTAAAATGGTATAATAATCTTTTCAATCTTAACAATAATCAAATTCATAAAATAAATTATAATCTTCGGATTTATGATTGAAGTTTAAAACTTTTTAACTTGAATCCAAAAACCCGCAAACCATATGGACAAATTTTTGTTTTGGACTCTTAATTTAAATTTAAATTTGATTGAAATACGAATTAAATAAATAAATACGCATATAAAAGATATAAAGAAAATGGGTACAAAAGCATATGGATGGATATTGGAGATAATAATAAGTTGGTTTTGTATATCCAGCTAAGTATAGTTAAAAGCCGGCCCACGTAGGTCAGCTTTGCTTTTCGGCATCTTTTGTATTTCAGCGGCTCACCATCTTACCCTAACTTTTAAATATTTAATACCATTCTCTCATCAACCAAAATATATTAACCTTTCTTAACATAATCACAATATTTTTTATTTCTACAAAATTCAAATATATAATAATAATAATAATAATAAAATATAAACTAATAAAATAATGAGTGGTAATTAATAAGTTAGTGAGTAGAGTGAATGAATAATGATTCTTTGAGGTATCCCCTTCATCTCCATGTGGAATTAAAGATTCCCCTTTAATTGGGTTGTTGTTTGTGATGCACTCAATTCCATCTCCACCGCCACTTAATTCCTTTCAACTTTTATTACTACTTTTGGGGTTTTATTCATCTTTTATCCTTTTTAACATTTAATTATTCCTCTATTTTTATAAATCACATGTTTTTGTATTGGTTTTTGTTTATTAAATCAATATCACATGATTAGAGATTTTGATTCCGGAATAAAAATCTAATGATATGTGATCTTTTGAGAAAGAAAAATAATATTATTTAAAAACTGATTATTTTAAGTATATAAAGTGGTATTGTGTAAAGAAGAAATGGGTTTAGAAAGAATAATAGCTTACCATAATCTTACCATCCTAAGTTAATCATGTTTGGAATGGGAGATACAAATGTAATTGCGTATGGGTTTTTGTTTACGTGCAACTTGTGTTGGTTTAAAATGAATTTGAAAACGACATAAGTGCCGATTAATAACGACAATAATATTTGGTTTCAAGTAAAATATCAAGGTTTCGTTTCATTTTAAACTTACCAGAGAAATATCTTAATATCGCAAGTCATATAAATACGTCTATGTTTGACTTGATAACATTGCATGGCTTGATTAAAGAAGTCATGCTGTGATATATATATATATATATATATATATATATATATATATATATATATATATATATATATATATATATATATATATATATATATATACGGTTAGGTTCATGTGAGACGGCCTAATTTTGTGAGACCGTGAGACGCATTTTTTATTTTTTTTAGTTAATTCAAGTTGCGAAAATAATATTTAAAAAAAGAATTTTTGGATTTTTTCATTTATTTTGCATTTTAAAATTATTTTTTAGAATATGTTAGTGTAATATTCTATTAGAATATTTCACGTATTTTTCAAAAAAAAAAATGGAATTTATTTTTATTTATTTTAATTTTTTTAGTTAATTTAAGTTCCGAAAATAATATTTAAAAAAAGAATTTTTAGATTTTTCCATTTATTCTGCATTTTAAAATTATTTTGTTAGAATATGTCAGTTTAATATTCCAATTAGAATATTTCACTTATTTTTCAAAAAAAAAAAAAAACGGATTTTTTTTTAGTTAAATCAAGTTTCGAAAATAATATTTAAAAAAAAGAATTTTTGGATTTTTCCATTTATTTTGCATTTTAAAAATATTTTTAGATTTGGTCTCACGGTCTCACAAAATTATAATGGTCTCAA